GGCAAAAGAAAAGCTAAAATGCTTGATGTATCTTGCCACAAATATGGTAAAGTTGGTCACTATGCCAACCAATGTTGGACCAAAAAAGCTCTCAGTGAAATCGAGGATGAGCAATTACGCTCTCGACTTGAGAAAATTTATTTACTTAAATTTGACTCAGAAACCAATTCTTCTAATGAAGATATTGACATGATCTATGAATCATCATTAGATTATTCCTCTGATAGTTCTGACAATAATAATTGTCAATGTAATCAAATAGATTATTGGAAGTCTATTGTTGACATGAATGGTCTTAATGTTCTTACTGCAGAACAAGATGAAGCTATAAAAGCTATTGAATCTATTTCTGATAATAATCTTAAAAGAAAAATGCTTGAAGTTTTAATTCAAGAAAACTCTAAAAAAGAATCACCTATTATTATTGAAGCCCCTTACTAATTAAGTGAGGTTCTATCCAGATTTCAACAGTCCCATATCCGTGAAACTCATGTTTCCCTTACTGATTTAAACAGAGAAATTAATCTTTTGAAATCTGAAATTATTCAGATAAAGAAGGATAATCAAAAACTATCTCAAAGGGTTTCCTTACTTGAAACGGGTACCCCTAAAGTTGAAGAAATATCTTCTACTAGCAGTCTTTCCACTAATGATAGATTTCTTACTCTGATTGACAGAGTAATTTCTCAAAAATGATTTGTTAGAATAACTTTAGTTATTAACATAACGTTTATATTACAGAATAAAGTCGCCCTTGTTGATAGCGGCGCTGACCTTAATTGTCTTCAGGAAGGAATTGTTCCTACCAAATATTATACCAAAACCACTCAAACCCTTGCTCAGGCTAGTGGTGACAAATTAATGGTTAATTATAAATTACCTAATACCTACGTTTGCAATCAAGATATTTGTTTACCTACCCATTTTATATTAGTTAAAAACATGACTCACAGGGTTATTCTTGGAACTCCTTTTTTAAATAGCATTATGCCTTTAATAAATGTTGACACTAAAGGCATCACCACCATGATTAATGGTAAGAAGGTCACTTTTGAATTCATTACTGATCCTCATATTAAAATGCTTAATGAGGTTAAAAATATTCTCTTAAATAAAGAAAAACAATTAAGTTTTCTTAAAGAAGAAGTTAGTTTATTAAATATTAATGAACAACTTAATAAAGATGGGATAAAAGGACAGATCAAATTAATTGATCAACAGTTTAAAGATGAAGTTTGCAATGATTTTCCAAATGCTTTTTGGGATAGAAAGAAACATGTTATTTCTTTACCTTATCTAGATGACTTTAATGAAAGTCAGATTCCCACTAAAGCCAGACCAGCCCAGACGAATCATGAGTATTTAAACCTATGTAAGGAAGAAATAAATACTCTTTTAGAGAAAGGTTTAATTAGAAAATCTAAATCTCCTTGGAGTTACACTGCTTTTTATGTTAATAATGCTGCTGAAAGAGAACGCGACGTCCTTAGACTTGTTATCAATTATAAACCCCTTAATAAGATGTTGAAATGGATTAGATATCCTATTCCTAATAAAAAAGATTTATTAGATAGATTAAACATTGCTTTAATCTTTTCGAAATTCGATATGAAATCTGGCTATTGGCAAATTCAGATTAATGAAGATGATAAGTATAAAACGGCATTCACCGTGCCTTTTGGACATTTCGAATGGAATGTCCTCCCGTTTGGGTTAAAGAACGCCCCTTCCGAATTTCAAAATATTATGAATGATATTTTTATTCCTTATACGGAATTTATAATTGTTTACATTGATGATATTTTAGTTTTTTCTAAAACAATTGATCAACATATGAAACATTTGAAAATATTCAAAGGTTTAATTAAGCATAATGGATTAGTTATATCCGCACCTAAGATGAAAATATTTCAAACTAAAATTAGATTTTTAAGACATGAAATTGATCAAGGAACTATTATTCCTATTCAAAGAAGTATTGAATTTGCTTCTAAGTTCCCTGATATCATTACTGATAAGAAACAATTACAAAGATTTCTTGCTAATGATACTAGTATATTACATGCTAGGCTTAGAAAAAATCCTGGTCCTTAGACTGATAAACATTCTCAAGCAGTCCGAAGAATTAAAAACAAGGTTAAATGTTTGCCTTGCTTATCTCTGGCTAATCCCAAGTATTTTAAAATCGTTGAAACTGATGCTTCAGATTTAGGATATGGAGGAATTCTAAAACAGGTTATACCTGAAACATCCAAAGAAGTTTTGGTTAGGTTTACCTCTGGTAAATGGAATCCTACTCAGTCAAAATATTCGACCATCAAAAAAGAAATGCTTTCTATTATAAAATGTGTTTCAAAATTTCAAGATGATTTACTTATTAAAAAAAATTTATTACAAATTGATTGCAGCTCTGCCAAATCAATTATTGAAAAAGATGTTAAAAATCTTGTCGCAAAACAAATATTTGCTAGCTGGCAATCTCAACTATCAATGTTTGAATTTGATATTAAACATATTAAATGTGAAAATAATCCACTTGTTGATTACCTCACCCGTGAATTTTTGCAGGGAAAGAATGACACCACCATCTAGGGGAGGAAGAGGCCGCGGTTATGGACGAGGCCTTGGAAGAGGGAGTAACAATATGTTACCCCAAAGTGAATTAAACATTCCCCTTATAGGGGATTGGACTAAAATCTATAAAGGTAGAAATATGCAGCAATTACCTACCTCAAAAAAGGAAGATATACCTTCTTCTTCATCTTCTAAAAAGATTATATCTTACAAAGAAATTACGGTCAATGACCCCCCTCAAGAACAAGTAACTGATTATTTTGAGAATCCAGTTACAGAAAAAATTATGTATATTGATGATGAGGATATAAAAATAAATCCAAATGATGAATGGGCTATCAAAGCAAGATACCTCGAATCAAGAGGATATCCATGCCTTCATGGTAAATCAAGACCACATTTAGAAATATTACTAGCAATTACTGAATCAACAACTTTTACTCATCATTATCAAAACAACAATCCTGAAAGTTTCATAAACTTCAGCAAATGCCACATTAATAAGATCTTATCACCTAGAGAATGGGGTCTTAACCCTAATGGTGAAAAGGCAATGAAAATTGCCGAAGGAAAATATATTTATTTCAATTATTAGGACTATGTCCAGGCTTTCACCCAAGCCTTTTATTACCAAAATCCTAAGAACAAACATTCTTGGTTTTTCTCAATTAATCCAGATGTGATTAATAGACCCATTCCAAATTGGTTTTATGCCTGGTGGATTAAATTTAGTCATACGCTATAAATTTTTCCAAACGAGTTAAATGAATTGTATACTCCTTGGTGCGAAAATAGTCCACTAGTATTAAATATTTCATCAAATTTGATAACTGGACAATGTCCATTTCTTTTCTTCACTAAGTTTCAAATTCCTTGGATTTGAAGATGGACTATCACTATTTCCAGTGACAACTTTAATGTGTCAATTCTAGAAAGAATTTTTCTCTACAAATGGTGGAATAAAATGAGTTTATAAGACATCCAGGACAAAATTGTTCTAATCAAATCAGCCATGATTGAAGACAAAAATAGCAAAGTTAAAGATCAAAACTCCCAACAAATGTCTATGGGAAACCTGAAAATGTTTTTTCAAAGAAAGTATCCCAATGAAACAGAATAAGAAATTATGGTCAGAACTTTAGATCATATGAAGACTCAATTCTTCTACACTTTCCAATCTCAAACTTCAAAAGATGATATGCAATCCATGAAGACTAGTTCATCCATGGGATCAATAGATTCCAACACCTTTGAAGGTTTAGCTGGAGAAGCTCAAAATGATGATCCCACAGCTGAAGACTTCTGGGATGCTATGATTCAATTTATGGCCCAAAAGGCTAAAGAAAAGGCCAAGGCTAAAGCTATGACAAGAGACTAAGCAATGACAAGAATTATTCATAAGCAATAATGTCAAACACAAAGACAAGAGAGAATCTTATCTTGAAACAATAAAAGAATCTTATTGGAAATAAAGCTATGACAAGAGACAAAGCAATAACAAAAATTGTCCAGAAGCAATAATTCCAAAAATAAAGATAAGAGAGAATCTTATCTTGAAAAGAATCTGCTGTCTATTTTGTTGTTTGTGAATTATTTTTGTATCGATGGGGCCCATTGTGTACCCGACATTAATAATTCATATTTGTTTGTGGTAACTGGCTATCATAGGTAGCTATTACCGGCTTAAATAGTAAGCCTTTGTATCCATATATAAAGGGATTCTTATTTCCTTTGTAAGGACGCAATTTTAATACAAAAGTTTTATATATGCTTTGCTTTCTTTCTAAATACTTATAATTCTGATCCTGATTCCGCTGGAAAAAATTTCTGGTATCATATATATATATATATATATATATATATATATATATATATATATATATATATATATATATATATATATATATATATATATATATATATATATATATATATATATATATATATATATATATATATATATATATATATATATATATATATATATATATATATATATATATATATATATATATATATATATATATATATATATATATATATATATATATATATATATATATATATATAACATCCATATCCAAATATTCAATTAAAAAGGTGATGAACATGACGTAGCATCAACTTTACTATTATGATTATTCAGTATTGATCCAATCCTTGAAAACAGAAAGAAACATCCGTAACAGATAGGAGAAAAAAAATGGAAATCACAGTATCAAGTAGACAATTATTCATAGATGGAGAGTGGAGAACTCCTATCCTCAACAACAGGATTCCAATCATCAATTCTTCTAATGAAAACATCATAGGCACCTTATTCCATCTCATCCTGCATTACAATATACTATCACTTTTTAATCTTTCTGTTTTTTAATAAATTTATGATATGATTACAAGTTATAACAACTTCTAAGTTCTTGGTTATGTGCATGATTGATACACATGCAGGAGATATACCTGCTGCTACTAAGGAAGATGTTGATGTTGCTGTGGATGCTGCTAAAAGAGCCATTTCCAGAAACAACGGTAGATATTGGTCTACTGCTTCTGGCTCTCTTCGTGCTTGCTATCTTCGATCCATTGCTGCAAAGGTTCTTATTCTTTTTTCTATTTTTGTTCTTCATGGATTATGATCTGCCTGATCAGACTTGGACCATCACGAGTGGCTCTGAGCTGAAGTTTGAACGAGATAGGGGGGGTACCTGCAAGGCACTCTGATGCTAAAGTGAGTGAGAGTACGAGCAGGCAGAAAGTGTGAGTATGGGTAAGAGAATGAATACCTGACCCTCTTGGAATAGAGGGTATTTATAGCCCCCAGCGCTGGGCCAAGGTCCCTTCATTGGGCCGACCAGGATTGGCCCAATAAAGAAACTGCCAGGTTCTACGTGTGTAGTGGGGACCCGCACATGGTCTCCTTCTTGGGTGCTCTGCGAGAAGTACGGACAGGCGAGGACGCGGTATTTTCGGAGTTTGGGTGAGGGTGTAACGGTCACAGTCTGCCCTATGAGGGGGTGCTCGAGCTGGACTCGAGCTGGACTGTATGGGTCGAGGATGTTGCATTCGCGGGCAGTGGCGGGCACGGTCGTAGCTTCTGGTCGACGCGCCCCCTATAAAGCCGTTTGGATTGGGCCTATTCTTGCTCTTGGGCCAACCTGGGCCCAGTCTAGAACAGGAGCCCCCCAAGTCGTGACTCCTGGAGCAGGAGTTATGACTTGATCTCAGCTCGCCTTTGTCACGGGGCCTCATGCTCGGCCAGGAGATTTGGTTCCCCGTGTTTGCTTGAGGTGCTTCCCCTGCGTCGCGTTCGTGAGATAGTTCCTTTCGAGGAGTGCTCGGGGGACCCTCGACGGGCTGTGTTCGTTGAGTATACGAGACAACCCTTGGGAAGCGTGACGCCACCCTATTGGATATAGAGCCATCATTGCCTAGGGGGCTATGCGTCAAGGAGGGGAAGCTCGTGGTTCCCCGGGGTGACGTTTCGTCTTCCACGTCATCACTATAAATGGGGTCCTTGGGTCCCATAATATGTTTTTCCTCTTCGCGCTTCTCCTCCTTCCTTTGCCTTAGCTACTGCTGTTTTTTTTCCAGATTTTCATAGGACCGCCGTGCTCTCTGTCGTCGATTCCCTTCTCCGCCGCCGTACCTCTTTCCTGATTTCAAGTAAGCGTCTCATCCTTCATGTTTTTTCTCTGCGGTAGATGATTTCTTCCATTATTTGTATGTTAGAAACTCTGCGTCTGGGATTAGCCCCGGTACATTCGTATTCCTGCCCGGCGTATTCGTGTTTATGCCCGGTGAATGCATGTTTGTGCTCGGTAAACGCATAGTTTAGGCACGTGACTCGCAATACCGCCCGATATCTTCATGGTTCTGGGCGCCTAACTCATGATTTGCCCGGTAAACTCCTAGTTCTAGGTTTAGGATTCATGGTATTGCTCGTCATATCCAAAGCTTAGATCGACGTACTCATAACTGTCCGGGATGTTTGGCCCATTTAGGCAGTATGTAGGACGACTTGTCGTGGCATCTTGGCGTCGGGGAGGTGATACCAGACTTTTTTTCGAATCCTCAACATTTTAATCGTGTGTGGAGTGTGACTCGGCTTGTCGTGCCCTTCTTCTCGTCAGTTATGGCGAGCGTATGGATTTGCTCCCCAATTGACCGGTTTCATGTGCTTTGCAGGTAACGATGGCTGATGAACCGTGTTCCTCGGGGCGCCACGAGGTGGAAGATCAAAGCACCGAGGAAAGTGTGAATCTGATCGATACCATTGACGATCCTCTGCTAGAGTGGGTGGGAGCCGAGCCCAGAGGGATTGCTTCTGCTTATAGTCGGCGCAGTCGGAGCGCGCATACTATCATCGAGCAGGGCGGTAGTCAGCCCGGCTTTCAGAAAAATTTCGTTCTCACCAGACCATCTCTTAACGCGCGGATCTGCTCGAAGTTCCCCGAGTACAGGTTTCCTATGATGAGATCGCGTTTAAGGATGTTGGCCTAAATCTCCCCTTTAGTGATTTTTAGGTCGGGGTCTTTAGTCATCTGGAGCTGGCCCATCGCAACTTCACCCCAACTCGATTGCTTTTCTCTGGGCATTCAAACTGACGTGTCGCTTCTTAAGGATTGGGGCGACCATGCCTCTTTTCTTCAGAGTCTTCCATTTACAGTGCCAGTCTCGGGGAGGTAGGCACAATTGGGTTTCCCTAAAACAGTCGAAGAGACTGTTCAGGATGTATATGGATTCTGACTGGGGGTTCAAGGATAAATGGTACATCGTGCGGTCGGTCACCAAAACTGCTCTAGAGTCTGTATACGAGGAAGAAACTGTGGTGACCGACGATCACGGGGAGGCTCTTCTGGACGATGAGGGTCGCCCGGTGTTAGGGCGTGTAGCTAAGTTTCCTTTGCATTGGACCTCGCGCCACTACGAGCATGGCACTGGGCACTACCATACGCCCGCGGGTGGGATGAGCACCGAAGATGAGGAGGCCTATGGTACCCTCTGCAGATATGTCGACAGTTTCTTCCCTGCCTGGTGGGCCACGAGGGAGGGAAAGGATATTCTCGACGAAGATGGTTACCCGACCTTTGAGGCCCGACCTATAGATACAAAGGCGCTTGTGGAGTGTCAGTCCTTCGGGCAGGCCGCGAACCTGCTAGGTTATTTTTTGTCTTATAGTCTTGTTCGAATTTCTTTGTTTGTTATTTGCTCGTAACTAACCCGGGATTCTTTTATGCAGGTCTCATGGATGGACGAAAGGAGAGGCTTCTGAAGTTGACATAGGATAAGAAAGTCAACAAGAGAGTGGTGCGAGCTCCTCAGGCGACGAGGATGGGCCTGCCAACTAGCTCGGGTGATGCTTCTGGGGGGTCCTCAGACGCTCAGGATGTCGAGCAGCATGTCGATCTGATACCGAGGAAGAGGAACCGGGTAGAGAGCCAGCCGGAAGTTGGCGAGGAGTCTGGTGCGGTGAGGTCCTTTGGGTTTCCCCCCTTGTTTTAAAGAGGAGGGTTTCTTCGAGGGGTTTCCCTTGTCTGTAAGCGTCGATGAGGCTGAGACTATTAGGCGGCTGAGTAGGGAAAGTCGGAGAAAACATCTGGCCACCAACATGGTCGGGATGGTCAAGATGGTCGAGATGGCCGTTGTCCTGGTCGAGGAGGGGGCAGACTCTGATCGCATCAAAGAGCTGGAACAGGAGAAAGCTACCCTTACTGCGAGATCACGAAAGTTGAAGGCTGCCCTGGAGCGCTCTGAGGAGATGTTCCGCGAGCAAGCCGAGCTGCTGGCCGCAAAGAAAGAGAACTCGGGGAAGGTTGCTGAGGAGAGGGATTACTTTCGTGAGGATCGGGAACGCTTAGAAATCGACAACGGGCGTCTCACCAAAGAGGTCGAGGAACTGAAGGCCGTCATGCTCCCTGCCGAAGATGAGTCGGAGGAGACAACTCCCTTGCAGAGTCGGTCGGAACTGGTCGCTCGTATTCAACTCCTTGAGGAGGACTGTGTTGGTGCCTTGGCGGATGGCTTTGAAGCCGCGGTTAGCCAGCTCACTCTGCTGAATCCCGATCTGAACACCGAATGGGTGGGCTTCATGTCCCAAATCATCGATGGCCAAATCGTGCCTCCGCCTGAGTCTCCTGTTGTCGATGCTGGTAGCCCCGGGGAAGTCTAGTCGCGAAATTATAGTCGGGCCTGCGCGCCTTTTTATTGATGGTTATTTTTGGGGGCATGCGTGTCCGTGCATATCTACTTTTTGGGCCTGTGTGCCCGTTCTTGTAATTCTTGAACATCGCCGACCTTCTTGGTCGGTTTATTTCTATCTGTTATTTCTGAGCTTTTGACTGAATGCTTGTTTCGACCTTGATCTTTTGCCCGTGTTTATGTTTATATATTTTGTAATAGAATTTGCCTAAGTTATGCCCCCGAGTCTCGCCCGTGCTCGGCTATCACTTTGTTGGCAAATTTTCCTAAGTCTTTTCCTCGGGACATGCTTGTGCTCGGCTTTCTATTTTGTGGCGAATTTCTCCTAAGTTACAACCTCGAGGAGAGATTCTTTTTCGACCCTTTGGATGGTCCGACATTCTTCGAGATTCGTCGGGCGTGCAGAGCGAAGCCGCTTGCTCGGGCGTAAGACCCGGATCGGGGTTGCTCACCCGTGGCGTGAACTGCCCATCGCGAGCTGGGTGTTCTGCCCTACAGGTACTTCGACGGTGGAGCTCGATTGAGGTGTCCACGTCGGGCACTATCGTTCATGCTCGTTTGTTGAACGACGTTATGCCGTTTGGGCGTAGATTAGGCCTGTACCTTAGCCTTTCTACGTGGTCGGGACGTTTCTCCCCGTTGAACGAACATGGACGTGGACGGCGAGGGTCCTTGGTGTCAAGGGTTTTTAACTATAGTACTGCTTTAGTTTAGCAGCGTTCCAGGGTCGTGGTAGTGGTTCTCCGTCTAGTTGCTCGAGGTAATATGCCCCGGTACCTGTGGTGTCGAGGATGCGATAAGGCCCTTCCTAGTTCGCGGCCAATTTTCCTTCGCGGGAGTCTTTCTGGTTTCTTCGTAATACCAGGCTGCCGATTTCGAACTCGCGTTTAATGACCTTGTCATTGTGATGCAGGGCCACTCGTTGTTTTAGGGTGGCCTCGCGTAGGGCCTCCCCCAATCGGATTTCCTCGACTAAGTCGAGTTCGTCCCTGAGGGCCTCGTCGTTCATTTCTTCGTCGAGGGGATTCTCTGTCCGCCTGGAGGGTTCCCTGATTTCTACTGGGATGAAGGCCTCGGTGTCGTATGTTAGTCGGAAGGGGGTCTCGCCCGTCGTCGAGTGGGGCGTGGTGCGGTACGCCCACAAGACAATGTGCAACTCCTCGACCCAACCCCATTTTGCTTCACCGAGCCGGCGTTTGAGTCCTCGGAGGATGACTCTGTTCGCAGCTTCGACTTTCCCGTTGGTTTGAGGGTGCTCGACCGAGGTGAAGTGTTGTTTTGTTCCCAATTTGGTGACGAAGTCCTGGAACCCGTGGTCAGTGAATTGGGTGCCGTTGTCGGTCACCAGTGCCCTCGGGATTCCAAATCTGGCAAGGATGTTTCTCTTGTAGAAACGGAGGATGTTGTGCAAGGTGATCTTCGCGAGAGCCTCGGCCTC